TAATATTGATACAATTTCACAACCAAATACAACCTCTCTTTTCTTCACACATTTCTTCTTCTATATTTTCTCTCTATTCTTCATTTTTTTTTTGTTATTTTTTAATTTAATACAAATTAATATATCTAATTTTATTTAAAAATAAAGTGAAAAGAAAAAATATTAAGGTTGGGTTGGTGTCATGAATAAAAGTAGAAATAGAATTGGGTTGTGAGTTGTGTAAGTGAAGGAGAGAAAAATGAGTATTTTATTAAAAAAATTGGGTTGGGTTGGGTTGAGTTGTGTTATGAATAAAGATAGTCTAAATCATATCATAAGATTATTAGTATTTATTTAAATAAGTAAATATAGAATATGATATAGTTTACGTGTTGTATATTAGAGCAAATTGTTGACTTCATAGTAAAATCGTACATGTTATATAGAAAATAACAATGAAACTAGAAAGAAAATATGTATTGGTAGTCATATACTTTTAATAAATACATGTTTTGTTTTTTGTATTTTAATTTTTATATTTTGGAATTTAATACAAATAATATAACATTTTATGATAAAAAAAAAACTTGCATTTTTGTAAGTATTATCTCACTATTTGGCTACATAATTGTAACATTTGCATTTATGTAGCATAATTTTTTAGTGAGACGGCATAATCATTACACGGGTACGTTGGGTCATATTTTGGGAACAAAAATGCATATTTTCATTATCAAATATCATACTTTTGTATAATTAATTCTTATTTAAATTATGATAACAACTAATAAAACTATATTTATAAACTAAGTATAACTTAGATCAATTTAAGCATCAAGATAATTGTATATATACGTATGAAGATAAATAGATAATTCTCCTCGTAACAAAATACTCAAGTTGTTATGATTTAAAGAACAACAAAACATTAATTATGATAATCTAAGCACTTGAAGAGATTACAGGAATTAGGAATTAAATAGTGAATAATAAGATTGATATATTGCAGTAATTTTGCAACAAAAAGTGTGTAACAAGATTATTCGGAATCTAATATGTTTATTGCTATAATATACACTAGTATTAGTACTCATGTAAACATGAGTGTTGAGTTAATAAATATATGTGTAAACTTATTTATGTCTAATACCAAACTTAACTCCAAAGCAAAAATAACATAAAAACAACATCACGAAGCATAGACTTTCGCCATGTCAACATCCAAAGCGTAAGAATCTGCCACCTAGGCTCAACACGTTTTGAATTAATATATAGAGAGGGATATTAGTACCCATGTACAATATGGATGTTGAGTTAATAAATATATGTGTAAAGTTATTTATGTCTAATATCAAACCTAACTCCAAAGCAAAAATAACATAAAAACAACATCACGAAGCATAGATTTTCGCCATGTCAGCATCCGAAGCGTGAGAATCTGTCACCTAGGCTCAACACGTTTTGAATTAATATATAGATAGGGATTTGCATGGAGTTATAAATATGGTATTTTTTCTATATGATTTCTTCTTTGGTTTTAATCAATGGTTTCTTACAATTCGGCCTATCTCGTTATTTTGGCCTTGGCCCTTGGTGATTTGCTCATTCCTCATGAAGGTAAGTTTCTGTTACAGTTTTTCATATGGAAATTTAAGTTAATAAATGCATATATTTTCTCACTGGATATATATATTCATATGTTTATTATGGATTTCCATGTATTTAACATTTGAATTTGTTTAACATTTTTTTTTTGTTTTTTTTTTTTCGTGTGTGAGGCGGTCTAGCCGCTAGGTGAATAGACTCGTCATACTTCGTAAGAAAAAAGTGCATATTTATATTATCTAATGTCATGCTTTTTTTATTTGTATTACAATTTAAAATTGATATTTTTTAATAAAAGTTTGCTTAATTGTGGAAAAAAATAGTATATCGGTTTAATGGTTAAGCCAAGGAGTATCTAGTGGCACATTAGATATTTTATTTTCTAAAATTACTTATAAAGATAATTGTCCTCGTTTTCAAATGATCATGTTTTTTATTTTTTCCTAACTGCAAAACTTATATAAATAGAATAGAATATTAAAAAAGAGTACAAATAAAATGTCAATTGACACCAAGGAGTCATATAACTGACCTACCATTTTGAAATCTAGATGAATCTAAGAGATACAACTCCAACAACGAGGCAACAACAAAATCAAGACGAAACTCTTCAAATAAGATAAAACCAGACAAGCTGGACTAACACATCAAAAACAAATAAAAACCCACACCTAATGTAAGCATTGTTGCTTACATGTTTATATTTCAATCAATTCACATGATTGACATTTTTAGTTTTTTTTTTTTTCTTGCGAAAAGATCCACACAATCA